TGTAAAGTAAAATGAGGGATGGTCTGAAAAGTGATCCCTGGGGGATGCCTGCATTGATTGCTAGGACTGGCTGTTAACAACCACCTTCAGGGACCTACCTGTTAGGAAGGAGTTTATAATTGAGAAAACTTTTCTAGTGCTTCCATAGATGGAGAGCTGGTGTAGCAAACCTTTACAATGTTTTTTTTTTTTTTAATGATAGTCGATACATGGCCAAAGGATCACTCAAGATAGAGGTTTACTGAGTAAGAGTGTAAGAGAGGGTGAAATAGGAAGTAAGAGAGTATGAGGAGGACAAGGACTTAAAGAGATCAAAATTGTAATTGTCAGGAAAGTATTCTTTTGGGAGTTCTACAAAGTAACAATTCTGTGGAAGAAACTGAGTGGAACGTGCTTTTTATCAAAGGAACATGGAGGGAATGAGCATGGTTTAGCACTGTGAACCCATCATGGTAAGTCCTAGCTGTGAAGATTTGAGCTGGTGGAACTAAAGAATATGACTTGCCTGAATATGTGACATTGTAATAGAAATATAGTGGTGACAGACTGGCAACATTTTTGTCTGTGGAATAAAAGTTGCAAAGTGGATAATTCATCACCAACAAGGCTATGTTAACACTTTCAGAGTCTGTTGAGGCTGAGGATAGGGCAGTACCAGCCCATACTTGGTCTGATCTGACCATTATAAAGATAGATCAATGGCAGCAAGATTTTGGCATTTTCTGGGGCAATACAATGAACCAACCATTCTTCAAACATCTTTTGCGATGGCACCAAATACATGCAATCTATAGGTTTCTAAAGTTCACTAATTTTTATCACTCATTAGTACTGAAGAGGGCAGGGCTTCCTTCCTAATCTTTTGTTTGAAGTAGTGTGGAATATCAACATCTTGATTATGCCATTATTAGTTATGTGATATCCATTTTAGTTGTTGCTCTTGTTGGAAGTCTTTAAGTGATGTAGTTTCTGTTACTTGCTACACTATTTTTGTAATTCTGTAGCACTAATCTTCAAGGTTTGAACAGGTATGGTCCTTGCTAAAAACTACAGGTTTCATTTACTGGAAGCTATTTTAAATCCTTAATTGATGGATGAAAAGTTTTTAAATGGGTATATTCAATGATTCTGTGTGTGTGAGAATAAATTCAAACAAGATTATGTATCAAATGCAAATGTTAAATTTTGACCCCGCTCTAACAAACACATTCAGAGAATATACCACCTGCTACAACAAGTCTGCTTATCTGTTACCATTTTATTTTCTTTCTTTGTAATGGCAACTGCCACACCTGTTAAACCTTTAACACTTTGTATTATTTACAAATATTACTTTCTTTTCCACTATATATATATATATATATATATATATATATCTCAACCCCTCAAGTGCAGTTGTCAAGTTCTTGATTTCACTCAAGGTTATTTTTTGCTGTTGCCATAGCAGGAAATGACAACACAGCCAATAAATTCAAACACAGTCATTTGGTGAATAAAGTTGTCTGCAATTATTGACCCCCCCCAAAAAAAAACCACGTACAAAATGCTAAAGGTTAAATTAACCTACCTATTTATTACCATATCACGATTAGTAGTGTTACCTTCTAAAGTTAACAGCAAATCCTTGTATATTTAAGAATTTGTTTTTTTTTATTTGTATGTTTAGCATGACAATGTTCTCCATTTTTGTCAAAAGAAAATAGCCATCCATCTTGAACAGATAAACAGGTTGACTTAAACAGGATTAAACATGAACTGTAGAGTTGAATACCGTCTAAAATTATGAGCAGCTGTCATTATTCTGTGAATTCTTTCAACAACTATCCTCATTTTCAAGTTTCACTCAATGTAGGCAAATTTTAATCATCACATTGTAAATGTTTTCAACAAGCAACCATCATAATTTTTCTAAACACTGGCATATATATAAGAAATACAGATTTATTACAAACAACTGTGTTCAGATTCACAATTATTTCTACTCAATAGTCTTTAGAATAATTTCAAGTGTAACCATTACTGTATTTACATTAGTCGGACTATTGTCCTCATCTTTGTCGCCATATTTGTCACAACGTTTCGGCTGTTGTACGCTCCGGCCTTCTTCAGGTGGTTGGAATTTCGAACTGAACCCTTTATTTCGATCGCTGGGGTAGACTGTTCTAATTCCACGTGCCATGTTTGATGGATGTCAGTTATCAGTTATCTCCTGCTAATTTTCCCTCTGAAAGTTCTCCACTGCCTTAACCAGGAATTGAACTCACCTTCTTTGGGTCTGTCACTGGATCTAACCAATGCCTTTATCCACTGTGCCATGTGTCCTTGAGGACATCTGGGTATGAACTTCTGAGTATTATAAACCTAATGTTTTCAGCATCAATTTTACCAGTGCTCATATTGCAATTTTTGCTGTTATCATTGCATGTCTTTACCAGAGTTCATATTGCAACTTTGTTATCATTGCTTTTCTCTGGCACTCCTTATTACTGGTTCCCATATTGTATTTATTTCTATGCTTGGTCGGCTCAGGAGATTTTTGTGGCCTAGCATATGTGCTGATTCCTTAAGTTTAACCATTACTGTCCATCCAATAACCATTAAAATAATACAATAGACCTACCCATAAAGAACTACTGACCAGCATATATAAATAGCAGAGCCAAAACACAACGCACATGGCCTGACGATTGTGTTTGAGCATGAAACAGTCTGTTGACAGTGGGTGATGACCACAATGTCTATTTAACTATAGATTACAATAGACTGCTAGATTCATATGAGTAATTAGTATGTAATAATAATAAGCAATTCTCCAAGTATTTGTGAAAAATATTCATTTATTAATAATTCTGTTAATCAACTATTTTGAAAAATCTAAGATCTATACCAGATTTTATTTCACTTACTGTGTAACAAGATAGTTGCCCAGATAGAGTCATAATGAAATGTTTTTGACTTGAGGTGTTCAGAGAGTTAAGAATTGTAAATGAAGGAATAAAAATAATAAATGGGGAAGAAAATATAAAAGATTATTTGATCAAATTGGAAACTGATAGAACAAGGTTCAGTTTAAAAACATTAACCAGAACTTATGTGTATGAGTAAGGCATCGGTAGGATTTGAACCAAAATAAACCTAGTAAGATTTAGTAAATTTAGTACAACTGAATTTTCCCTACTCCATTTCTCACCTTTATGGAAGTTTTGGTGACAAGATTAACAGCCAAATTAGGAAAATGTTTATTTAGTGAACTATTCAACCAAATTTACATTGATTCTTACTAAAATGTCTGAACTCAGAATCTAACCAGTGACACTTTTTAATGGATCATATCTGGCGGGAGTTTACTTTAAAATATAGCCATGTGCATTCCTGACAGAAAGTTCCTTGTTTGAAGATACTATCCATCAATGTTGTACCTCTGGAGTGTGTGGTTGCTTCATTAGTTCATGCCTCAGAACTGTTCATTATATCCAAAGAGGATGCCGTTTTTCTATTTTATCCTCATGCTGAAAGAAACTCCAATGCACAGACTAAAAATATCTTACTTTGCATTTAATCTTTTTCTATACCTCAAGATCTTTGTAGAAAATCAACTATGAGGGATTGTAACCATTATACTCCACTACAATTAGATCTCTTTCTGATTCATTCTGCATGCTGACTGGATGTGAACGCCATCCATAAAGGCAGGAAAGGAAATAAAAAGTTGTTTTCTGCACAGACTCCAAGCATCATGTCCAGTTACCAAAACAAGCTCCTACAATGAAAGCGACATTGGCCAATCATGAACGTTCCCACCAAAAAAAGATGTCCCTAGGGACTGCAAGATCCACTTAAAAGTGGGCACCTCGCATCAACTAGAAGTAGTTGCAGGCCATCAGGCCACCTGCTGATATGCAGAGCGGCACATGACCACTCCTCTCAACCCAACTGTTACCACTCTCAGTCTTGACTAATCATCTGACTCTTCACACACCAAAATAACAAGTTTGGCAAACCTGACTCACTACAGTGACTGACTATCCAGTTTTGGCACTGCCAGGCTCCAGACACCAACTGTTATGATTGATAACACTGGCACAACCCAGCTCCAAGTCTTCCCCATTGCCACTGCTATCACCTTGTCATAGGGAATCCTACAAGCAAGTGACTCTGCAAGCATGCAACCCATGCTAACACTATTTCATAGAAAATTCCTACCAGTGACACCAATCCCTTGTCATCTTGACAAACAATGCACCCTACTATGAATCATCCCATCACCTTGACCTTAATCAACCAACATATGCGAACGACCATCCTGTGACCTTTGGTCAAACCAACACAAGGAATCAGTCCTTTATGCTACCTTTACACTTAATCACCATTCTGCCGATCACTAACAGAAATTGACATTTCACCAATTTTCAAACCACAATATCTGTATATTAAACAATTCACGTTGTTAAAAAAAAACAAAAACAATTCTTGTTATTACTTTCCTTTTGCAACCAAACACTTATTATAACATAACCTTTGACAGTCCATGGTATTAAATTATTGGCAGTTTTTACATCAGCATTTATTCTTTCTACCTACAATCTTTTTGCCATTTAAGAAAGTCTCCAGATGAACAAAACCCTGGCTCACTGGAATGAGAAGAATTCTTCAACAATCACATCCCAATGACAAAACACTACACAACCACATCGGGAGACCAGTGACAGGTGACAAAAACACACATATGTCCGCAAAATGTTACACCTCACTTGGTATCTGGTGCCAATGATTATAAGTTGTGATACTTGGCACTGTAAATACGACTGTCTGTAGGTGAATAACTGGATTTTTATTTCACTTTCTCAAAGCATGTATTGAACAAATGGACACAGTATACAAATCTGAAGAAAAAAGTAATTGTCTTGCCATATTTGCCTATCTTTTCAGGAAAGATCATAGCTATCATTTGTTGAGCAAACAGAAGTGGACAAATCTTACTATTACTTTACATAGGAGAATCAGGAAGGAGTAAGTTGGAACATGGTCATATGATGGAAAGCAAATGAAAATTGTTGTTGGCACACAAAAAAAATGGAAAGGAGGAAGAGGAAGCAAGGGAGGAAAGAGCAAAAGAGATGGGGGGGAGGGGGCAAAGAGAGGTGGGGGAGGAAGGAGGAAAAAGAGGTGGGGGAGGAAGGAGGAGCAAAGAGAGGTGGGGGGGAGGAAGGAGGAGCAAAGCGAGGTGGGGGGGAGGAAGGAGGAGCAAAAGAGAGGTGGGGGAGGAAGGAGGAGCAAAAGAGAGGGGGGGGAGGAAGAAGGAGCAAAAAGAGATGGGGGAGGAAGAAGGAGCAAAGAGAAAGGAGAGGGAGACAGAGAAAAGAATATATTAAAAAAGTAAAGTTTGAGAAAAGAAACAGCAATAAGAAGGAAAGAAGACAGTGGAAGAGGAAATAATAGGAAAGGAAGGAAGAAAATGAAAAGAGATCATAAGAAATTAAAAAAAAGAAAAGAAGTACTGAAAAAGTTAAAAGGCAAAAAGAAGAGAATAAATGAAGGAAAAGAGTGAAAGAGAGTTTGGAAGATCTAAAAAGAAACTGAAGAAACAAAAGAAAAATGAAGTTGATAAGAGAAAGAAAAATGAAGTTGATAAGAGAAAGAAAATGAAACTTTGGAAAGAAAAAGAGAGAAATGTTAAAAAAAGAAAGATATAAACTCAGATAATAGTTTGGAAATGAAGTGCATTCAACTATATTAGCTTAAGTTCCACTAGATTAAAAAGATTAAAAACAGTGCTAAAATGCTAATATAACGAGAGAAATATTACCAATTACTTTTTCTATGGAAGCGCATGAATGATACATGAAGGACCATAATCATACAGTATATTAGTTGCCAAACAGCTTTGGTTTGGATTTTTAACTAACAAAAAAAAAAAAAAATCCGGTTATGTTGGTTAAAGATTTTTCTGCTACAATTTGTGTAACAAGTCTTTGAATGCTATGGAAATGTCAAAATAAAAATGGTGTGTTTGTCTATGAAAGTGTACTCAGCCAAACCAAGATAGAATTAAAAGAAAAAAAAAAAACATCTGATATATAGTCATTTGTTCAGATTTTGGAAAGTGGGTCAGGCTAAGAACTTTTCAGCATCCCCTCCCCGTGTGTGTGTGTGTGTATACATGTGAAAATACATTTCATATACAGTCCTTTTTTGTTAAGAAAAAAAAATACTTATCTATAATCAAGTTTACATACAATTATAGCCACAAGTCAGAATATAAACATTAAATCACCTGTGCACTAAACGTTTATGAATCATAGTCTTTGTGAATGGCAGCACACAGGGGGAAAAAAAAGCCATTTCGGGTCTCATTTGAGCCAATATCCACAATTCAATCTTCATTCATACAACATTTCTCTCTGAAAGAATATTAATGTGTTTTTATAAATAGACATACAAACAGACCTATCTTTACTGAAGTCGTATTTTTAAATTTTAACCTTTTGCTAGCTTAATTGCCAACTTTATGAAGAAGAAAATTGTGTTAATTATCTGGAGATTTTTTGCCAGTAAACAACTTCAATTCTTGAGCAATAATTCAAAATTTAACAAAAAAAAAAAAAACTTTTCAAAACACCACTTCTTGAACATTTAAAACCTTTCTTTAGCAAGGAAGTCTGTTTTTTTTTTTCTCAATTATAACAATTTTCTTAATATGCATGTGTGCAGGTGGTGTAATGGCTATCAGCTGTGAATGAAAAAAAAATGCCAGTTTAGTTTGTTACATTCAGTTTTGCAAAAACACCCTTGGGAAAAGTATGAATCCATTTATTCAACCTAGGAGGTAAATAATAGGGCAGACTAGCCATGGCTGGCAACCGGTCTAGGAGGAGGACAACTTTGAATTCAAAACCACATGTAGCCCTAGTATAGTACACGCAATGCAGCCATTGACAAGACCATGGACTTCACAATCACTCTTCTAATCTTGACTGCACTCAACCTCTGCCTGCATCAGGGATTATTTCTTAATATGAAGGAGAAAGAAATTTGATGGGATAATTATTATGAGCTTTCCTCTCTTCTCATGTCAAGTAAATAGTGAATATATAATTGGACAAATTTATTGCTCATTAATTAAAAATAAAAATAAAGACTAAGTTAAAAAATGCTTATCTAATGTATTTCATGACAAGTAAGGATCCTCTATTTTCATTTTATATAACAGTATTATGGAGTTAAGCTATTGCCTTTGGGTAAATATTGGCGATTCAGATATGTCTCAACTTTACATTTCAGACTTGGGAGATATTTTTCAAATTTTTTTTTTGGGGGGGGAAGAGGTTGGTCACTTGTCAGGATATTTAACTGGTCTGTGTTTTCATTTTGAAGTGGTGAAATGAAGGATTATTCTATTTATTTTGTAATATATTTGAAAATCTGGTTTGACTGAAGCTTATGGCTGATCAGATCAAAAGACATCTTAACATGACATGATCAAGTAGATACATGTTGTGAATCATCTGACCAACTAAGTACATGTCATATGCTGATGTCGCTTTGACTATAGTATGCATATATAAAATGGCCAAGTAACAATCATGCCTGAATAAAACAAGAGCTTTTAACTGCAGAACAGTGAATTGTTTTCTACCTCTGTATTCCAGAGCTCTGTGATCTGGCAACTCCCAGGACCCAACATATTTTAAATCTGCTACCATTAATTTGTGAATCTGCTATGAAAGTTGTTTTTTTTTTATTCAGTTTCAAACTACACTTTAAACTGTACTTTAGTGGTTTACAAACCAAATTTTAAAATAGAAGGTATAAAAGGAATCAAATTATGGTTTAAAAGAAGATCAAAGAACTAAATTTACCAAAGTTCAGTGCTTATTTTAGTTTCATAAAGAATGATGGATGTACTATTACTTTAGGCTTTGTTTCAGAAAGCAATAAAGCATTAATAATTCTAGTCGGAGAGGTGCCGGGATCAAAATCTCAGGTTTCATGAGGTTTTGCACCACAGTGGTGTATAGTAATATTTTCTAAGTATTTTGGTACAAATGTACGAAAATATACAAATTTTCCAAGTTTTTAATTTTTGTTTTCAGTCAAAATAAGTTTGTTTTTTTTTTGTTTGTTTGTTTGTTTTTTTTGGTGGAAGGGTGGATACAAAACAGGGTGGAAGGAAAAGTGACACCATAATGAGCACCATACTGTGGGTGCATGAAATTTGAAAAAAACTGACAACACCCACCAGCCATAGGTCTGGTACCTTACTTGGTACACACCCACTTGAGTTTATTTGCATAAAGGGTTTCTCTAAGTACATCAGCTGCATGATTCATCCCAAATACACAAGCAAATTGGACATGAGAATTAAAAATATAGACGCCATTTCATTAAACACCTCTAAATATTTTTAGTACAGGTGTACAAAAATAATTTTTCAAACAGGATGGTGGTATCCTGAAATTTCTTCAGGAGTACTATGGTGTCTATGATGTTTTCAATTTTGGAACACTCACCAACCATATTAATTTTTTTTTATTTATTTTAAGTACTGTTCTCCATTTGATAACATAGCAATATTTTTGTGGAATGAACTAACAAGTAGTTGAGCATATTTATATCTTTCTATCTTGTGACATTTTATATGATCTTACAATGGCCAAGTCCCAAGATAACCAGATTAATGAGTACAACCGTATTAACTCTTAACAATCATATCTACGACAAATTCCTAACGTTACAACTGTTGTTTCATAATTAGATCTTTTATTATATTGCAATTCATCTACAGTTCAACTATGCATAATATAACTCCTTAATTATTTTAACCTAAAAATCCTGAATATATATATATATATATATATATATATATATATATATATATATATACACACACATGATGCAACTCAAGTTTACTACCTATAAAAGTTATAAAACAATTTGGGATTTTTATTTTCAGTCTGTGTGATGAACTATCTTATCATAAAGACAATTTTAGAAGCCAGTGTAAATCTTAAATTTAGAAAAATATTTGGTTGCTTAATAGAAATCCAACATAAGGATTCCACTTACAAAAAAATACCCACTGGCTGTATGTGCCATTCAAAAGAAAGTAAAATAACAATGTAATATTTTTCAGCCAATCAAAAGGCAGTCAGATATGCAGTTTGGACATTTGTCGAGTTTCCAAAGGGTTTAACCCCAAGCAATATTTTCTTAAGAGAGAAAAAAAAAAAAAAACAAAACAAAAAAAAAACATTTATTTTCTAAAGTAGGCAATACTTTTTTCTTTTTTTTTTTTTTAAAGAATGCTGAAATACTATGTAATATCAGTCCTAATATATGACAGTGAATGTTGGACAATTTCCTTACAGATGAAGAGGAGACTTCAGGCAAGAGAGATGAGGTTATACAGAAGGAGTCTGATAATACCATGGATGCAGCAAATCAAGTGTTTAAACCATTAAAGCATGAAAACAAGTTGGCTGCTTTTACTAGAATAATGATAATAATAATAAAAAAAGAGGCTAATTTGGACGGAGAGAATCTAGAGACTTGAGCAAAACTTACTAGCCACAATAAAAGTCAATTTCTGACAAAACCATATTCTATTCCAAGAATGTGAACAGTTTGTACTTTGTTATTGCAATTTTTTAAAAATCTGATCGACTTAAAGTAGTTTTTAAAATATCATTTAATATCATTTTATATGTCTACTGAGTTTATTACTCTCTGCTTCCATCATTCTTTGACCAAACTATCACATGGTAAAGAGCTATATCATCTCATTAAGAATAGAGGAACGAACTGATCAAAACAATGACTAGAAAAAAACTGCATCAGGATATGGTTCTGCTACAGCAATTTGTGATTAGACAACACTTTATTAACACTATGCTTAGTATGTATCTCTGGCCAGATGGACATTCTACTTTTTACAGATTTGGTACAATGAATATCAAAGATGAACAAGCAGAATTCTCTTGACTAGAATCTATCTCCAATTGGCAAACTGGGGAAATGGGATAGTTTCCTTTAAAATTAAAGCGCAAGTAAATTTGTGTCCTTTGTTTTGCCTGTTTAGAATATTATTAATTTTATAAACTATATTGGCTTTTCTTCTGCAGAATTTTCTTAATTTCAAAGTCATTTCTGGCAGCAATATTTTTTTCAAATCCGTGTAAAAAGGCTGCATTATCTAACTTATGGAGTCAGGCCATTTTACAACTCAGTGCTTAAATAATAATAACTGTAGGTCTTTTCTTTTTGGCTCTAAAACTGGACCCTTTTACTCAATATCAAACTAGTCCCTTGTTTTATGTGGGCCAATATAAACTTTAATATCAGAAAAATGTGGAATTTGGCTTTGAAAACTCAATGATTCATTTATGAGGAGTTGGTTTAAAATAAGGAAGCTGTATATAGTGGTGTCATTGTTGATACAAGTAAACAAAATTGTTAAAAATATTACTTATATATAATATTATCCTGGACTCAATTCTAGCTTTTAATTGTGATAGATTTATTGCTTTACACATGAATAAATAAATTAAAATATTACTGTATTTGAAAACAGAGAAAGCCAACGGTTTTTTTGCTCCCAAAATATTAGAACTTCATAAATTTGTAATAAATGCATGGAAAGAGACTTGTTTTGAACCAAGTCAAATAAAGAATAGGAATGAAGCTTGAGCAATAATCAATGGACCATCCAATAAAATTTCTTTATATTTTCTGGTATAA